TCATAGTTACGTGTTCGACAGTTGAGACAAGCCCAAAGCTAATGACCTTTGGTTTCTTTCACCTGTCTAAAATGTGGTGATAAATATGCGGTCGAGTACCTTACTTCTTATCACGATCTCTACAATCATGCCACAGAACCCCGTGTACTAAGATCAGAGCCATGCCATGCATAGTTTCGTGCGACCTGCAGCAGGGCTCTCCTTCGTCACAGCGATATCAGCTGCCTTTGATCCAAGAGCAGAGCGATTGCCATTCATAGCTAGTGGCATGTTCCACGGTCGCAATTACATGACTCGGTGAAATGAATTTTGCGGAATTTCTCCAAAAACCGGAGTTATCTCACAAACAGGCAGATTGTGGTGGTACGAGCTCAATGGTTTCAGCATGTTTTTCTCTGTAAATGAGCTGATAGGCATGGACAACTCCGTTCCAAAATGCAAGGCAGGGGTACCGCGTAGTCTCTGCAGAATTAGCCGACACATGTCACCATCTGAGATGCCAGGACCAATAAGTTGTGTTTTACATCTTACGTCCAAAAATAATGGTTTCACACTACCACTTTACCAAAATATATTGCGATAGCACGAGGGCGTTGGGTACGTAGAGTATGAAGATTTGATTTTAGATCAACGATCAAAACAAGTGAACAGTGGTATAAACCAGCAATCTTGAGCTTCAAATTCATTTGATCCCGCACGCATTCCACACTGTCTACGTTCCGAACCCAATAACCACCAAGATAGAGGACTTATGAGCAGAAACGTAGCTTTCACAGTGCTCTTACTGATTTGCAGCAAATGTTCAGCGCATCAAACTGAGTTTCAATTCAAAATAAAAGCCGTAAAATCTCTTTAGAAGAGTTCACAATCAAACGCAGCTCACCAGTGGGAGAATACACATGGAGATGGTCATGACTGCTGCTGGCTGGCTGACCGCCGGTCGCCCTCGAATGTTTGGATGACCGTCCTAAACTTTGGTTTGCTGCAGCAGAAGGGCACATGGATCGTGCTCGCCGCGCCCGTGACTGGGACTGACTGCTGCACCGGCGATCGGGACATGTGCAGCCGCCTGCGCCCAAGGACCAGTCTGACTGGGTGGGCATCGGATAAAAGTCGTACCAGCCGGAGACTGTCACTAATCTCTACAGCTTCGTCGAATAGCTGTTGCCATGAAGCTGGTAAGGCTTATTTCAGCCCACTAATTCAAAAGCCAGCATTACATAGCATTACTACCGTCCCGATGGCATGCCGTTGCGCGTAAAAGGACTCGTCTCACAGCGAGCAGAAGATGTAGTGGGCTCGAGGTACATTGACTAGGGTCAAATGCGCGCGGCGTCCTAGCTTCCTGACTGGTAAGGGGGAGGGGCAGCACTCCCACCGTGGGTGGCGATGCCTTAGACTCTGAAATGTGCCTGACAATGTGTCAGCAATGCTTTTATGCTGGCAGAATTACTTGCCAGCAAATGTGTCCCATTGGGCTAGAAAAACAAACAAATGCTTGGAGGGAAAACGCCAGAAAACTGCTACACATCTATCCCAATGCAGTGTTCAACATGAAGTGACTGACCGGCAATATAGGGCAACTTGTCCAGGAGTACTGCTTCAAAAAACAAAAAACATCCGAGGCGCCATCGTCACTCGGCCTGAGCTATTGCGGGATGAATCACTCACTCCCGTTCGGATATATTGTAAACGGATTTGTTGTGAACCTGCTGGGCTTTGAAGTCATTCCAGTCAACAGGGGTATGAGGGGCGCTTCAGCAAGATCGTGGAACGTTGCTGTAATAAGAGATTTAGGATGTTCAGGAGGTTTAGTTGCTTTTTATGCGATTGTATAACTGGGCTGTGCATGCAGGGTTAAGAGCCAACGCCGTTCGAGCCTCACAGGTTCTTTTCAAAAGGACTTTGCTTGATTGCGAGGAGATACCGGATGTTCCAAAGTCAGAGCACGAAGCTAAATAGCTATAGCCAATACAATTTTTGGCACGTCCGTGAATTTGGTGATTCATCTAGATATTTGTTAAGCGACGAGTTCCCAATTTGGTGTACACGCGCCAGATGGCAAGAAAACATCGAATCTGAGTCTGACAACATCGCGTGAACTTCGAGATCAGATTTAAGGTAAAGCGACGGGAAACCCATATCACCAAACAGCTATAAGCCGATTGTGAATTCTAAAGCGGCAGATTATTCAACAGTGCATTGACTAGTCCGTCAAAAAATCTGACTCTAAGGTCACATTCAAGGTCAAAGTCAAGCTCAGATGAGCGGGAACTCCATATCATCCAAACGCTGCAGGCCGACTTCGGATTTTTGGGCACCGGAATATTCACCAGCGTCCGACATAGCAACCGTCAAAAAGCTCAAAATTCGGTCGCTTTTCGAGGGAAAATTCAGCCTCAGGTCAAATTCAGGCTCAAACTTAACAAATTGTTAGCAGACGCCAGTTTATGCGTTAAATATGGAACTGATGTTTATGGATCCGGGAATCGGCCGGCAACTTCTGGATGACATGAATTACTCGTCATTTGACCTTTCAGGTTGACCTCGAGTAGTCGGAACCTTTGACGAGCGCTAGGTTATGCGTTGGTGCATGTCCAAAGAAAATTGTAAACGTGTGCTTAAGAACAGTCAGAGTCTACTTAATTTATGAACGCCTTTACAAGCGCAACTTCTGCTGCGCTGCATGAGCGCTAGCAGTCGATGCACCCCGAAACTGGCGCAATTTAACCGACCGAAGGTTTTCTGAGAATACCTTCCTGGCATTTGATGCAATCGCGTATAAATTCTCAGTAATCTATTGGTAATTCGTTCAACATGTTCTGACACCATGTCATTGTCACAAAACGTGTCATTTCTGGTTTCGGATCAGGGGCCGATTTTGAGGAACACAGCACGGCGGTCTACAGCCGGAGCGGGCGGCGGGCGACAACCAATGATATCCGGGGATGGACGACAGCGGGCCGACGTTGTTACATGGAGGGGTCGATTCGATGAACGGTCTTACATACATGAGTTTGTAAACCTGATGAGTTCTGGGTCTGAGGTCACATTCAAAGTCAAAGTCGACCTCGGACGGGGGAACTCTACATCATCCAAATGATTATCAAACAAGCGATTATCAAACGAACGAACGATTATCGGGAAGATGGACGATTGCTTTTGACCAGTCATAATTGGATCAATCATTGACCTAGCAAAATCAAACCTTACTAGCCCAGTCGATCACTAATCGTGCGATCTCTTTGAGGCCAATTTACTGACGTTTTCTGCTAAGCTCTACATATGTCTCATAGTTTGGAAACGGAAGGGGAAGGGGTCGCATCAATCCCCCTATCGGTCCACGCTATAAAAAGTGCGAAATCAGGGCGGGTTGAAAAGCTGACATCGGCCGATAAATCTCAGCTAAATTTAACTTCCATGTCATTTGACCTCATCCTTGACCTCAAACAGTGACCTTGAAGGGTACAGATGCTATTCATGCACTCGTGAATGTTATGATGCTTAACACTCCGAAGTCGGCCGTTATAACTGTAGGTTATATGGAGTTGCCAGCCATTTTAACTTAAATCTGACGTTAACGGGTCACCTTGAGAGGTCATGGCTTCATGACGCAAGTTTATGCACTGAAGGTCATTCGGTGCCTGAAAATATCAAATCGTCCTGTAACGCTTGGACCACATGGAGCCCTCTGTCATTTCAGACTGACTTTCGCTCTGAAATGTGACTGAGAGACGACGACTTTTTGACGGACGCTAGTTCATACGCTGGTGAATATTATAACGCTTGAAAACACGAAATCGGCCCTTAACTTTTGGGCGATATAAAGCTCGGGTAATTAAAAGACATATGGATATAGATATGACGGACGACGTCTGGATGTGCCTGTGGTACGGCCATCGTGGGTGCTGGTCAGCTGACGGACGGCGTCTGGACACCGGCGCCCGCGACGCGCTCGGCTAAGCCGGGCGCTAATGACGCTGCCGGCGCAGGCACAGGCGCCCGGCGGGTGCAACCAGTTCACCGGCCTGAACCAGCGCACGGATCGAGCTGCTCACTGACGGTAAGCGGCGCGGCTGCGAGCCCTGCTCCGAGCTGCCCTGCCGCAGGCTGACGGCCGGCTGACGGCCGGCCAGCCCAGCGATAACCTAGTCCAGAGCCAGCCCAGCGAGAATCCAGCGGAGAGCCAGCCCAGCGACCGGCCAGCCCGGTGACCGGCCATCCAGCGGCCGGCCAGCCCTGCGAGAACCCAGCCGAGAGCCAGCCCAGCGACCGGCCAGCCCGGCGACCGGCCAGCCCAGCGAGAACCTAACGGAGAGCCAGCCCGGCGACCGGCCAGCCCAGCGAGAACCTAACGGAGAGCCAGCCCGGCGACCGGCCAGCCCAGCGAGAACCCAGCCGAGAGTCAGCCCAGCGAGGACCCAACCGAGAGCCAGCCCAGCGAGAATCCAGCGGAGAGCCAGCCCAGTGACCAGCCAACCCAGCGAAAATCCAACCGAGAGCCAGCCCAGCGACTAGCCAACCCAGCGAGAACCCAGCCGAGAGCCAGCCCAGCGAGAACACTGCCGGCAAGCAGCCGGGTGGCGACACGGTCTACACCAACGCCAAGAAGCAGCTGCTGGTGTTCAGTGCCGACCGTGCACATGAACGGGCTCGAGATGTGCAGCTACAGCCTGCGTAAAGCCAGCCGGCACGTACAGTCCAGCGAGGGTCTGGACCTGGCGCCGTTCTGCTTCGTCACCTGCCAAGACCTGTCACAAATACCCTCGGCCAGCGGCGCCTGCTCCACTCATTGCCCAGCGTGTAATTTTGCACAGCGGTCGGTCGAACAAACACTAGGCGGCTTAACAAGGACACTGTGCGACTTAACAAGGACACTATGCAGCTTAACAAAGACACTGTGCGGCTTAACAAATACACTATGCGGCTTAACAAAGACACTATGAGGTTTAACGAAGGCACTGTGCGGCTTAACAGACACCATGCGGCTTAACAAGGACACTATGCGGCTTAACAAAGACACTATGCGGCTTAACAAAGGCACTATGCGGCGCACGCAAGCTTTCGCCACCGCGGCGAGCGACTCACCGCCAACCCTCCTCCCCCCCTCACCCGCCTCGTTGATGCTGTGTACCAGCTGGCCTGCGCGCGCGTCTAGAGCGCGCCGTCCCTGTCTGACACGTCCCCCACCCTGGAGCAGGAGCCAGAGCAGGAGCCAGAGCAGGAGCGAGCAGGAGGCAGGGCAAGTGCACGAGCAGGAGCAAATGGGCCGGCAGTGGAGCCGGTGCTGGAAACCGGCCGGTGGTTCCATGTAAGCGATGCGGATATGAGAGGTCACGCCCGACACGGTGCTTCAGAGCCATGCGTAGATTGTTTTACGGGCGCATTTCCTAAATGGGTCGGTGCTCATTTGTTATCGCTACATTGCATTATTTATGTGAAGTTTTATAACAAATTTTTCATCACGCCTTGTTGCTAGTAACTATGTGTGGTTGCATGCTGTGTCGTCAGGATATCTCGGGAAAACCGTCACACGAATACAGAAAGCTATGCACAAAAAACCGCTCACAACCGTCGATGACATTTCTGATGGAAACGCAGCGAATGCACTATCTCCGGCGATATACTAGAACAATGCATATTGTCATTTCAATTCAAATATTACGCATTTATTCAGAAGACATAACAATGCCCCCAAAAGTCACAAACCTTCTCCGGACGAGGGCTCCCATCTCAAATGGTATTTGTGTTTCTGAGAATGTCAGCACCAAGCTCAGAAGCGGAGATCGCCGTCTTGCCCAACACATATCACATCAACCGCAGCGCGGCATTCACAACAGGGCCGACAGAAAATACTGTCCAAACAGATCACAAACGCTGTTGCCTGGAAACACCCGATAGAGCACTAAGTTTTTGGTTCCCCTGTCATAGCCAACCAGCGCACGCAAATGCAAGGCCAATTCATGACACTGTTAAAGAATGCATGTCTCAATGCACAGCACCAACATAAGTCCAAGCAACTGTAAAAATATATTACAGCGCGACTGGTCACCTGGATGACGACTCTGAACACGAAGTCAGTACGTCTCAGTTCAGCTGGCAACTAAATACCCACACGCGACGCGCCCCCGGAAGCGTGCCACACCAGACACCCATTCTATGGACTGGCCCGCAGACGTCCCCCCCCACACCAACCGCGGACACCGCAATGAGCATGACTCAACCATCGGCGCCGATGCGGGGCGGTCGATCCCCCCGCGGGACCGGCCTCAGCGGAGGGCGCCGCTCGGCCGTCGGCTAACGCCAGTGGTCAGCACCGGCGCACGCCAGTAGCAGGCGGCTGCTCGTCTGGTAATTGAACAGCACGACGACGCAGCGCCGGCCGCGCACGCGTGCCAGCTCGTCGCACACCTTCGCCACGTACTTGCGCTGGCCGCGGCAGCGCTCCAGCACTTGGTCGACGCTCTGCTGGAAGGCGGACTCGGGCTCGTTGAGACGGAGCCGGGTCAGCTGCTGCAGGTCCTCCTGGTCCAGCTCGACCATCAGCACCTCTGGCCGCGCGGCGGTGCCGAGCGCCAGCAGCTCGGGCGCCAGCTGGCGCTCCGCTGCCGCCTCCAGCATCTGACGATCTTTGGGCCGCGCCGTGTCGCGATGCACCACCCAGCGCAGGGGCAAGCCGACGGCCGGCGGCGGCTCGGGCCGCGCCGCCGCCGCCGGCTCGGCCGGCCGCTCCGGGCCTCGCTCGCCGCTCACGCCCAGGCCAGCCAGGCAGGTGAGCAGGTCGTCGGCGGGCACGGCGCGCTCGGCGGCGGCACGCGCCTCCAGCGGCCGCACGCGCACCATCTTGGCGTCCGAGTCCTTGGGCAGGATGAGGGCGCGCGCGCCTTGCGCCGCCGCCCAGCGCGCCGCCTCGTCGGCGGCGGCGGCCGAGTCGGCGCCGGCGTAAAGGAAGGCGCGTACGCCGGCGACCCAGAGCTGGCGCGCCACAACCGCCTGGCGGCGCGCCGCCGCACGGTCGGCGCCGTCCAGCACCACCACGTCGAACGGGGTGCCGGCGGCGCGGCCCTCTTCGACGGTCGCCGACACCAGCTTGTCGAAGGAGACGGAGACGGCGGCAGCGGCCGGTGGCGGCGCGCCGGCCGGCCCCAGCAGCGCCCAGTAGTGCGCCAGCAGCGGGTCGTACCGGCCGCCGACGGCCAGCACGTCGAGGCCAGCGCCGCGCCGCCGCGGGCACGCCAACTGGAAGACCAGCCCGGCGAAGTGGCGCTGCTGCTGGCCCAGCACCAGACCTGCCAGCAGAGTGCTCACTGAGCGCTCGAGACACCCTGGTCGCACACAGCACGCGCTGTCGCCTGCTACCGCCAGATTGTGATTACCCGGCCAGGCAAGCTAAGCACTGGCTGACGACATGTGGTCATCCATACCCATTACATTCTTGTCTGAGGAGCGTAAAATGTCAAAGTACGAGACACAAACCTATCGTTCTATGAAACACCATCAAGCACATCGACGTTACGTGCCGCAAAGAACTATCACAAGGTAACGCCACGCTATGGATAAAAACCAGCCGATAAAACACACGTTCAGACCTATCAGACGTGATAACGACCTCCACATTCGCTCAACCTTTCTGCATTGTGTAGAACATGGACAGCGAACAGCGATTCGTATATGATGCCAGATTGTTACCTTTCATGGTTCGCACATTTGTGTAATCACTTCACACAATGGTGGACATCATCTCCATATGTTTTTATAGATGTTTGTTATCTTCAAGAGAAATCGTTTTCTATTTTTCTTTTATTTCGCAGACTATTCACGTGTCTGTTTAAACCGAAGTTATTCAGACTTAATGTTTCGCTCGGGGCGAGACCCTGCGTCGTCTTAAAGTCGATGCAAGTCCTCGTGCTGAATGAATTTGAAACTTCTTTTAATTGAATGGATGAGTTGTAACGATGGCTCAATAATGACGAGGAGAAAGCGCGCTAAATCTACCGAAAGGAAGATAACGTTTCTAATGCACAGCGCTCAGGGCATGTGACAACGCGGAACGCCTCTTAAGTGCGCTGTGTCAGCTCAATATATGTGTCCTCTCGCCAATCAAGACGAAACAAGTGCCCACGAAGCGTTACACTCCATATTGCAGCATCTAAAATAAGGCTACTACAAAACTTAATTACACTTCACCCGCACGGAAACACATGGCTTGAGCTGACCTCGCAGCCTTTTACCAACGAGGCTTTGTAGAGCAGTACTGGGTGCGCACTGCGTCTGGCTCACGTCGTACATGATCCCAATTATTTCTACCACAATGGCACGGCTACTCTGCTCAGAGCATCTCTGAAGTTCCGACGTACGGAAACCTTTGTGACTTTTCGGTTTTGTTTAGCTGACTTCGCCGTATTGCAACGTTTGAAAGCAGTGTACCAGAACGCCATTAAAGAGGCGTTTCATTGGAAAGAGTCACTTTTCTCACATAGGGTTCATGCTATAACAAAACATTGCAGAATTATTCCAACACAGTAGACGACCTTCTGTGACGAATAAAGGCATCAAATGAATCACCAGAATGCCCGACGAATATCCAAGTTCGCCAAAAACTGTTCATCCCAGCTTCTGGAGGAATGCTTGCTGAGTCTTCTGATTTTTGAAATGATTGTATAGAAACATTCATATATATATATATATATATATATATATACATATATCGGCAATGATCGCATTTCTGTCCCAAACGCAGCCTCAAGATGGAGGCATACCCCTCCATGTTCCCTCCCCACATGGACCGGGGTGAGCGCAGCGCCCCGCCTACAGAGCGTGCTGCAGACGCACTCACCAGGGTGTACCACCATCGGGTACGTGACGCCCAGCTTTTCGGCGAACTCGACCACCACGGCTAGCTCATGCAGCGCCTGCCGGGCCGTCTCTGACTGGCGTCGGCTGGAGAACAGCGCCTGCACGCGCTCCAGTGAGCCCCGCACCTCCAGCCGGGAGAGCAGCTGGCCGGCGGTGCGCTCCGACAGGCCCAGTGCCTCCAGCTGGCGCTGCAGCTGCCGGCAGCAGGTGGGGACATTTGTTGTTTATTGCATTTTTGTTGTTTTTTTTTTAGTTTAGGAGCGCGCTGACTGCGGTGGTCATTTGGCCCCCAGCAGGCGGGGCGCTGTCGTGAGGCCAGTCATCAGTGAGGGATGGAAGGTGTCGGGGGAGCGGCCGGGAGCAGGCGGGGCGCTGTCGTGAGGCCAGTCATCAGTGAGGGATGGAAGGCGTCGGGGAGCGGCCCGCAGCAGCACGGTCACCGAAATCGCGGTCATCTCGAATACCGAGGTGGTTAGCAACACCAGCAGCACATCGCTACCACCGTCGCAATCACAATCATCACCATCACCAAGGATAAACTATCACTTTCAGCCGGATTGCAGCCACATTTTAAAAATGTGACCTCGGACAAACCTGATGACACCGTGAACGTTTTGTACGGTAACCCGTGGGGAAGAGGAGAGCGTAGCAAGCAAGTTGAGAGCCTAACAGTGTCTGTCCCCTTAGCCGCATCAGGTGATACACCAACCCCCCCCCCCTACCGGCGCGCGGGGCGGTGCCCATTCCCGCCAGCGCAGCCCAGCCGTACCAGCGGCCGGGCGACGTCGCGCGCCTGGTGCGCCAGCACGTCCAGCACGGCCGAGCGCTGCTCGGCAGGCACGGCGGCCGCTTCCAGGGCCGCCTCCAGCAGCAGCGTGTGGCCCAGCAGCAGGGTGTACTCGCGCGCCGCCAGCGCCGGGAACGCGGTCGGCAGGCCGGCCAGCACGGCCAGCAGCTCGGCGTCGGCCAGCAGGGCGCCGGCCGGCGGCGCCAGCACGCCGAACAGTGCCTCCTGGCGCTCGCGCGGGTGCAGGCCGCGCGGCAGCCGCTCCTGGTAGACGCGCTCCACGGCGTAGTGTTTGAGGGGGCCGGCGGCGGCGCGCGCCAGCAGCCGGGCCAGCGGCAGCCGCTGGCTGCGCGGCAGCTCGACCAGCGCTCCGGTGGCCGTCATCAGGCGGACGGCGTCGTCGGCGGCGAACTGCGCGCTGGGCAGCGTCAACAGCGGAGCCGACAGCGGCACGGCGCCATGCCGCCGGAACAGGCGCACCAGGCGGGCGCGCGCCGCCTCCGCCAGCGCCGCGCGCTCCGGCGCCGCCGCCGGCCGGCCCAGCGTCACGTCATACGCGCAGTCGTCCGTGTGCGAGGCGCGCTGGGAGAAGCAGGCGTCCACCAGGTGGGTGTAGCGGCGCGTGCCCGGCCGCCGCACCGTGTCGCTGAAGATGGTGCGCAGGCGCGCCTCCTCGAGCGGCGGCGACGGCACCAAATCGGAACTAAGCAGCTCCACGCATGAGGGGCGCGCCGTCGGCTCGTGGTCCAGCAGCCAGCGGAGCACCTGCAGCTGCTGGTCGGTCAAACGCTGGCGCACGTCCTCCGCCACGCAAACGTCCGGCTGGCGAACCTGGCTCAGGCGATGCACGCGCTCGCTCTTGGTGGCAAAGGCGCCGCAGCACATCTCGTACCAGATGACGCCCAGGCTGTAGATGTCCACCTTGTTGGTGTAGGCGCGCCGGCCGCCGCTCGGCTGCAGCTCCGGCGCTCGGTACAGCGCTGTGCCCACCGCGTAGGCGTACGATGTGTCCGACACGTCGCCGGCCGCCTCGGCCTGCGCCCGGTCCGGCGTCGCCTCCTCCGCGCGCGGCTTCACCACCTTCGACGTGGCCAGGCCGAAGTCGCCGATCTTGACGTGCTCGTTCTGGTCAAGGAAAATGTTATCCGGCTTCAAATCTCGGTGGATGAGGCCGTGCTGGTGCACGTGCGCCACGCCCTCGATGATCTCGCGGAAGAGACGCCACAGCAGCTGCTGGTTGGCGCAGAGCCGCGGCAGCGCGGTGCGCAGCGTGCTCTTCTCGCAGTACTCCATCAGGATGCAGAGACAAAGGCGGGCGCGGGGCCTGGAGCGCCGGCCACCAGCTCGCGGAAGCGAGTCGTCGCTCAATGGCGCTGCGGCGGCGTCCCCGCCGGCGCCCGACGGCGCCTCGAACACGATACTGTCCGAGGAGTCCTCGCGATCCGAGACCACGGCCAGTGTCTCGTCCTCGGTGCCGCTGTCCTCCTCCTCGTCTTCCTCCTCCACGTCCTCCGATTCCATCCAGGAGGTGTAGTAGCGCACGATGTTCTCATGCTGCAAGATGGAGAGGTGCTGCGCCTCCACAGCGATCTTGCGCTGGTCCTGCGGTCTGTCCCGCTCCAACACGATCTTCTTCACGGCGTACAGCTTGCCGTCCACCTTGTTGCGCACCTTCAGCACGTCGCCGAAGCCGCCGGTGCCCAGGTGCTCCAGAATCAGGAAGTTTGTGGCCAGCTGCTGGCTGGGCCCGGGCGTAGCGACGATGCCGGTGGCCGACGGCTCGGCGTCGGGGGAGGCGGGCGCGGACGGCGTGGGCACGCTGGTTGGTCCTACTTCGCCGCTGAGAAAGCCGTGCTGGGCCAGCTGCTCGGCCGACCAGCGGCGCTGCTCATCCGGCTCCAGACAGCGCGCCAGGAAGTCGCGCGCCGACTCGGGTAGCCAGTCGGGCGGCGCCGGTGCCGGCTCGGTCGACACGCCGCCGCGCGCCAGCGACACCAGCAACACCCCCAGCCGATGCACGTCCGCCTTCTTCCCGCTTCGGCCAGAGTATGGCGGGTAGTCGGGCGGCGGCGGCGGCGAGGCGCCAGCCAACTCGGCCAGTCGCCGGCACACCGAGAAGTCGGCTAGCCGCACACGGCCCGAGCTCTCCAGCAGCACGTTACTGTCGCGGATATCACGGTGGATCACGTGCTTGGAATGCAGATGAGCCAGAGCCGCCACCAGTCCGACCGCCAGCAGACGCAGCTGACGGGCGTCCATCTGCACGCCCTGGCGCACATACCGACTGACGTCAGAGGCTTGCACAAAATCCTGCAGTACAAACACCTCGGCACCCCCCGCCGTCTCCTCGTGTGTCATGCCTAGGTAGGGCAGAAGATTGTCGTGGCGCACCTTCTGCAGGGAGCCGAGCTCACGATGCAGCGCTCCGATTTGCTCCAGCATCTCTCTGCGCTCCTTGGCGGCCGGGTCGGAGCCGCGTCCCTTCCGTGTGGCGTGCGCCGACCGCCACCGCACCGTCCACTGCTGCAGCCGGACCGACTCGCCAGAGCGCGTGTCCACGCCGGTGCGCGTGGCGGCGCCGGCAGCCGTGTGCTCCAGACACTGACCGCACAGCACCTCGTCGCGGCCGGCGAACGCCAGCCGGCGCGAGCCTGCGTGCTCGGCGCACTCGGTGCTCTCCGAGACAGACGTTTCCTCGTGGCCGGTGCTGACGGAGCGGCGGCGCGCGGCGCGCTGCTCGTGCAGCAGCTGGCGGCGCCGCTGCTGCTCCTGCTGCACCTCGGCGCGGCGCCGCTCCTGCTCGGCGTGACGCAGCTCCTGCTCCTGCTGGCGGCGTGCCGCCTCCGCCTGCAGCCGCAGACGCTCGTTGTGCTCCTTCTCGGCGTGCAGCGAGTCGAAACGCGGCCGCGCGAGCGACGCCAGCCGCGCCTGCGCGCGCTCCACCAGCTCGAGCACCACCTCGGAGCCGAGCCGCTCGCGCGCCAGCTTCTCCAGCTCGGAACGCAACGAGGCCAGTTCGGCTTCGGAAACGCCCTCGGCACGCTCTAGCTGCACCTTGGGCGCCGCGTCCGGGTACCGCGCCGGCATCGTCAGGTGCAGGCTGACGGAGCACTGCGCCTGACCGGCGGCCGCGGCCAACGCCTGCACGCGCAGCAGGAACTCAGGCGGGCGCGGCACGCTCCACACGTCCCGCCGGCGCAGGTCCTCGAACTCGCCCTTGGCCGGGTACATAGACGCGATGGCCAGCACCTCGTTCTCCTGGCGCTCGCGGTACTCGTCGGCCTTCGACATGCTGGCTGGGGAAGGGCACATGTCAGGTGGAATGCTTGATGGTTTTAAAACACACAACAGGACTGTGGACAGATAAAAGTAATGGCATGTCCTTTTGAGATGTAATATTGTTGGCATTGCCCATGTGTAAGCAGGCACCTTTGCTTGCATTTTCAGAAGACTATTTACCAAACCTAATAATCACCATTGTTTTAATCATGTTCCCAGTACTGTTTCAGGGGGGGGGGAAGATGAACATTAAAGAATCATGCTATTTTTTGCATGATGGCAGGCAACACCTTACCTCACAGGACCATGTGAGAAGTCTGGACCATTTCTGCTTTATGTGTGATTTAACAGAATACCTACATTGTAGTTGATCACAAAATTTATACAAATATATGCACATTAACTCCCAGACCACACTAGTACCCCCTGATGCATGTCTGGGACTCACTTCACCCAGTATTCACTCAATGCATGTCAAAATGGTGGCACACATGAGTGATATTTCATCATACAACACAGCATTCTGAAGCAATTTTGAAACATATATAACTCAATGATAAGCCAATGCATGGTTTCATTTGAAATGAGTTTTATACTTGTCATGCCCACAGAATTGTACCTGACCTCTGTGTATATCAAAGAAGTGAGTACAACCTTGTCCAATAGGTGTTCAACTATACTGTACAACACATCATAATGGGATTGAGTCTATTCCTCAGCAAAATGTTTGTCTTTCTTGCACCACTTAGGAAAACAAATTATGAAACATTCTCCATTCTACACTACTTGTTGTTGAATATCTATCATGTTGAAACACTGTCTTTAAAGCAAAGCAAGGCAATCAAAAGCAAATATGCATCTTAGTATGACAAAAAAGGTTATATTATGGCATCTATTATTCACCTATAAATCAGAAGCTATCCAAATAGTTTTCATTAGTGGGCTTTACTATAACATAAATCATGGATACAATAGTGAACAAGAAGTTGCATTGTAACAATATGTTTTACCTAATTCCTAAACTCAGTACACAATACCAGTAAGTCAGGTAATGGGAATTCAGCCAAGACAAGCCATGTTAGTAGGATCTTAGACCTGACCCAACAACATATTAAGTCATAATATACCTGGTGTTCCTTTTTCTGGCAGTAACTTTATGTCATCAATGACCTACATCCCTAATGGCCGGTAATAATCCCTAAGAAATCCAAGGGTCAAAATAGCGTCATTTATGCCACATCCACTGCCATGACAGTGTGAACGCCAGTACTTCCTGTACGAGAATGCTTCCACATGTAGACATACATCCTGTGGGAAAAAATACTGATATCTTCAACTTCCTTAATACTAGCAAATTATGGCATATCTTCATCCTTATAGCAGTACACTGAGTAAAAAATTGTGAACTGTTATACTAGTAGCAGAATATTTTTTAAAATCATTCATTGAGTTACAAGACACATGGAAGCTCACCAACAAAAGCAAAAGGCCTTTTACACACCCTTCAGCCCTTCTTATGCCGTCACAAATCATCACCACTTGATGTTATTCTAGCTCTCCACATACCTTGAGATATTTGCACCGGCCTATCGTTCCATTAATCTGAGCCGATGGTCATTGATACTAGAAAACAAAAGCACGCCAGTAAGGGTATGCGTGCACAAAACTTAAACGATAACAATTTTGGAGATGTCTTGCCACACACGTCCAATAGCCGATTTCGTTTGTCTTGATAGAGGCATCTTTGTAGCTGTAATGGTTGGAAGCTTTATTACTTTCGTGGAAAAGTGGTATGGTGAAGGAAAAGAAGAAATTTATTGCTGCTGCAGGAACTCCGGGAACTACATGGCATCGCAGCTTGGGTATACCCATGGATACCCATATGAAATTCTGTTATAGGGCCTTGGTGTAGAATGGGCAACGGGTTTCGGTCGACACAATTTTTTGGGAATTTACGGGCACTGGTACGGATATGGGCATGCTGTTCAGAAAATAAGTTAGTCAAGAAATGCTCCAAAATTTCACTGCGCGCACTTTTGTCATAATATTCTTCATACTGCTTTCCCTAAACTCGTTCGTCAAGCAGACCAGATGTGTAAAAAAAACTGCAAGCGAGTGGATGCAACTGATAAGGAGCGGGTAGCTCGGTGATTTGATATGGATGGGTACAGTCCCATGTCCAACGGGTGGATTAGGCACATAACATCTTCATTAGGCACGTGGAGGTCTGCAAGAAACCCTGCGTGATAGTGTAATATAGTATTGCATAGCTAAATAATTTTTCAGCCACAGATTTGGAAGACAGTGTGAGGTAAAATTTGAAACAAACGGGGCGACCTCAAAGTAAATGGTCTGTCTCTTTTGATCCTCTCTCTCCAGTTTGCCCTCAGACGGTTTAAACACGAATTCTCCCGATGACAGCCACATCGCACGATTCAACGTAGACCAGTGCGCTTCACAGCTTTGCTGAATGATGCCAGCCTAAGTCAGATGTAACAGAACGCTAACTCCACGGCCAACGCCTACCCACTGGTAACGATAGACGGACGCGTCCGTCCACCTATGGGTCCACGCTTACGTACTGGCTTTGGGTATTCGTCTTTTCTCTATTCCTCTTTTCTCTTTTCTCATCCTCTTTTCTATAGTCGACTGTTGTTTTGCTTCTGTCCTTTCTTATAGTGGTAACGCGCGCCCAAGTGGCCGCTTGGATACCCTTCGCCCGGGTGGGGGTCAATTTAACCCCCGTGAGATCTCAGAAACTAAGAGAGCTAGAGACACCAAATTTACAGTGTATGTTGACCTGTACGTACAATCACTTAAGTCAAAGTTTGAGGTTCCTAGGCCGTTACTTTCGGGTAAATAAGGTCAAACAAGGTCAAATTCCAGGTTGGTCCCCAAAGGGTTCCGGAAACTTAGAGAACTGTTCTAAGCAAAAAGTGATATGCTCATCGAAGGTCAGTGACCTCGTTTGACTTTTTGAAGGTCAAAGTGACCAAATTAAAAAAGACTGCGTTGAGTTTTGCATTTGGATAAGCGACAAGAACTACGCTAGGCAGTATGCTCCTCAAAAAAAATGCTCACCTGGTTCATTCTAGGTCAGTTACCTATTCTGACCTTCAAGAAGTCTATGGAAAGTGTATGACGCGGTTCCCATTTTCAATAAATTCGAAATGAGCACCAGAAACTATCCCATACCCTACAGTAATAAAATAGGTTGGTTATGACCTTGGCCGGACCCTCATATTTCACCTGACGTCAATGTAATTTGTTCATTCAACTGTTGCATTGCCTAAGAAAGCATTTCAGCGATGTATGGCGTTGTCCAACACTGCGTTGTTGGATCAGATTTAACGATTGCCTAGAAATTGCCTTCGCTGAACCATGGCCTGGTTTTGACCTATCATAGGTCAGTGACCTTGCAAAGCACATCTCAGTTTGTGACGCCAACGATCTGCCATTTAATTGTCTACAGCTATGCAAAATTTGGCGCAGCTACGCCGCGCCGTTAGAAAACTATTCCGGAAAAACCTTCGGGCAGGAGTCAATTTAGCCGCCCTTCCGAGCGCAAGTGAATCCACAAAGCAAGATATTGAGGCCAATACAAAAAACTGCTTAGCGCAGATACCCGTCCGCACACGCATTTGACCATTCAAACATGTAAGCATCTAGGTATTCGTATGTGGGGGGTGCGCTTTCTGATTTTCCTCAGTAAAAATACAGTCAAACATTTGAGACTGTACATGGTAATGATAGATGGGAAAAATGGGGGGGGGGGGGGCAATTGATGGGAAAAGCACATGTAGGCACCAAAATAAAGTAGTCTATAAGTGTACATAATACGGGTCTGTGCATATTCTCATGTATGCACATGTGGATTTTGCGAAAAGCTGTCTGCACATGCGTGCAAAGATTGAGACACAGGCACCAAGGTGATATTTTAGAAGTTCTCCAAGAACACAAGGCATCTCTTACTAACATCTTTCAAGAACCGTCCGCGAGCGTAGTGCCATTGCACTTTAAAGGTGGGAAAATAACCCCATTCTTCTTCCGAAGAAACCAATACGTTCTATTGTCATGTGCATTCTATGAATTAGTGGCATAGCTTCTCCCCTGCACGCACATCAAAGAATGATTGATGTACAGCGTATATGATATATTGCTGGTGTCATTGCTAAAAGTGACCGTTGTCATGATATTGGACTGGACTGAGGATGTCGCCCACATTGTGCACCAGTCAATTTTTGTGGCCGAGGATGTTTGAGGGACCGCTGCATCACGTCTGGAAATTTCTGTCATCTTAACTTCTAGACCTCCAATCTTGAAACCTACATGAAGCGCCTTCTGAAACGATGTCGGTGCAAAATCCCATGGTTCTGACACTGATGCCAACACAAAGCAGTCCAAAAGCACGCCCCGAAACGCACCGTTCCCCGGAAAAAGCATCCATCGCATCCAATCCAAGCTCCGAACGCCGCCCTACGAAAGGTGACGCCCGCGACACCACGTGTCCAAGGACAATGTTCCGGCATCCATCGCCGAACGCTGTCTGCACTGAACATTCCATGCCAAAACTAAATTGTTTGCTCCAATGATAGAAACGGAAAAATATGTCCACGATGCGACGCAATACGATGCTATCATACATCCAAAACAATGTCGCCGCCACGAGTTTCCGAAGCTGGAACAAAACAGACAACTGGGGAAAAAAATACAACCTTTTCCCCTCCAACCAACCCCTGAGGCTGAACACCGTAGCCCTACGCCTCAAAGAAACAGTATCCTAGCTGACCACTTCATTGCTGACCACCAGCGCCCCCTTCCCCCCCCCCCCCCCCCCTGGTGACGCCCACGACAGACGCTCGCCTTATTCGAGAAGCCCTCTCCCTCTCCCCAACAGGTTCGGGATAATGCAAGTAACAAAAGAGATCGTTTAGAAATGCCTTGTGGTCACGTTAACCACAAATATTAATCGTAAGCTATTTTTTATGATCGTGGGATGATGACTTCTTAAATTCATTTTTTGCCAATCATCACTTTGAGATGATGACTTTCTTATCATCCCACGATCTCCTAGCGGCATATATTGACGTGTATCCATCTATGGAACTCCCTCTTGCTACAATGGCTTTAAAAGAAATTCATCGCTGGTTTCATTTGTGTCCATCTGTTTCTTACTTTCTCCGGCTTGTTCTGTTCCTGCCTCTCGCTTCCCACCACACATCATCTTAACCTCTCCCTTGGTCATCTTTGGTTAAAGGCACCACCTCTTCCTGTAGTCGTGTTCCAGATAACAAGACACCCTCAATAAATTACAAAAGCTCCTTTCATGGATCAGGAGGCTCCTTTATGGCGTGATCTTCCGCTCTAGGCGCCTGAGTGGCGCCAGAGTCGCTGCAAGACTGGCTGCAACCAGAATTGCCACTGTAATGGACGGGCTGTCTCACCTTCAACATGCCGCAAGGTGGCTTCATAACTTATCCGCGTGAGATAAGCCGTGTACGTTGTGTGCGCATGTTGTGGCACTTCCTGTAGTGGTGTTGTATATTTTTCCCGTGGTCACATGTTCTCACTTGCGTTTGTGGTCTGGGTTATCACGCTATTTTCAAGTTATTCAAGTCCTAGCCTCGTGTTAGATAAGTCTTATTGAACCGCCTAAATGTAACAAAAAATTGTAACAAATGTTGCGTTATGTAACATAAAAAACGTGGTCCGTGATCTAATTGCATCTAATGCGTTAAACTGGTTGACAGCCAACTGCTGGCCGTTAATGTGGCAATTCGTTTTGACGTTCTACAAGCACATCTAAGCCAATGGTGATAATTTACTTGGCCTTGACCCTGAGAATTATTTTCCTGCAGTATTTTATATTTTTTCTTGACCGTTGCCTTGAACGGTGGTCACAATATGGCCATTGGGGCGGAGGAATTCCTGTAACGTTTCTATGATTTTGCATTTGTATTCGTTTGCTTGGAACTCATCCACAAGGTGGTTTCTGAGATCTTCGGCTTGTTATACATTCGCTGGCTTCGGCTCGTTACATCGCTCACTCACTCGTTACAACACACTGCGAGAAAAACTATAAAAAGCGATGCTGCGAAATGCACGAAAAAACTATAAAGACGATGCTACGAAATACACTACAAAACACGGTATTACCGACTAGCTTATAAACTGTGACGCTATATGATGCGATGCGACAAAATATGGTACGATAAAATGCGATACCATAAAATATGATGTTATAAAGTGCGTACGACGTCGAAACGGTGAATTAAATACATATCCTGAACTGACAACAGAATTTGCCAAACCCAGCGTACGCACACAAAAATGAATGACAATACATTGAAAGTATATTGGATCCGCATTGACTTGCAAAGATTACGCACGTACATACATAGGCATACAATCACACAGGTAACCGGCATGGGCTTAGACGCAGGCGCATGACCCAACATTTGCGTTTTGGAATGTTAAATCCCTCAGAAGCTAGAAATGAAGACATGGTGGTGGTCAGAGGCCGGCGGCTCCAAGGTGTCGCGTCTCGATAGGGAAAGGCTGACTTGGTGACCTCCAATCGGCATCTGGACAGTTGGAGAGGCATTGACGCGGAGGAGCGTGTCTTTCTCACTGAAAGAGAGGAACGTGGCTTCAAAAGAGATTGGTCAGCCGGCGGTGATCCTTTGCATCTTAGGGCT